GTTTTGAATTTTGAAAGCAAAGGGAAGAATGTAGGTTTATGGAATTATTTGTGTCCGAATTTTCAAAAAAATCAAAAATCGGTAACTACTGGCAATCGATATAATTGGATCGATTGAGTTAAAGAATAATTTTAGAAATTTTAAAAATATTTAATAATATTTTAATATTATTAAATATTAATTTATATAATATAATTTTAGATAATTTTAGATAATTTTAGATAATTTTAGAAATTTCTGTCTTGTTTTGAATTTTGAAAGCAAAGGGAGGGATGTAGGTACGTTTATGAGCGGAAACGATCGAAAGAAATTTTCAACGACGTTTAATTCTAATTTTTCTTCTTTTGTTCCAGGTAAGGTTCGAATCGGTTGTCATCGACGACGCTCGAGTATAATATCGGTAAGCGATTGACTTTCCCCGTTGTTTAATTTATGCATATATTCCGAAACTCGGCACGTAATCTAAACCACTTTCAATTCTGGAGATGGCCTGTCTTTAGTTTAGTCGATATTAAAGTCTGACTCATATTGACAAAACTTTCTGCGAGGTATGCAGTTCGAATAAAATAGCATCACAGCAGTGGTACGAAATTAATGGTAAAATTTGTTCATATCTATCCATAAATTGCAACAACAATAATTTTTTCAAACAATAACAGATATTATTCGTATACGTTGTTACAGATACACGACATCGTTCAATATTCTCAATTTCGATATTTTCCAACGATTAACGATAAAATTAAATTCCAAATTACATAGAATTGTAATCAATCGCCAAGATTAATCCCATTAATGGAAAATGGAATCCGTTATCAGAAGACGTGTTGTACGATTCTTCGATATTATTCGAACGAGTTATATCAACAATTGTCGTAAAGCTAATTAATCCTAGAAATGTAAGGGAATTCCATCGAGATCTATCGAAATTCCTGATACATATTTCTCGTCCCTAATTCGTGATAATTCCGGCGGAAGTGGACGTGACGTGGGGGGAGGGGAGGGGAGGGGGTGTGGCGAAATCCTACCGCGCAAACTACCTCGTGAGCTCGCATTCACGCTTGTCAGTAATTGAATTCCGGTATTATCCCCTGCGCGTTTCGAGCTGGTGGTTTTCTTAGATAAAGTTATTCGCTCGCCTCTTTGCTCGCGGCGTCTCCTCTTCGTTTCCTCTCCCCTCCGCACCCCCTCGTTTCCTCCTCTTATTACGCCCATTCCTTGAATTTAACACGATTTTTTCATATACCCTGAGAAGAGGTAACGATAACATCCTCGACAGCTGCAACGAGCATCTGGTTCGAAGGGTTTTTTTTTCGCGTATTTCGGGAATATCTCGCACCCTTCCTCCCCCTCGCACTCACGGAGAAGTGAGGATGGCGGCGAATTATGTTATATCCCATTTGAAAATTTCGCTGGAATTTTTAGGAGGCGTTGCTCGTGTGATGGGGAGAGGGTTATGCATCCCTAAAGAAAAGCGGAAATGTTACGAGTATCGTATAAAAATATTCGTATATTTTATATTTGCGTGGGATTAAATTAGAATTAATAAAGCGCCGATCTAATGAAATTGAATAAAGAGGAAGAGATTTTTGTTTGAAATTATTTTATAATTTTATAATTTTAATCTTGATATTCAGGAAATTTAAACTTAGAGAATAGCTTTTATTCGACACTCGTTATATTTTTTAACCTGGAATAATTGAAAATTTCCTCGAATTATATTTTCCAATAGAAAATTGATTGATCGATTTCGGGGAATGAATCGTTAACTTTTCTTTTTTTTTTTTTTTTTCCTCGATAACTTTAAGGAAAGGAATTTAGGGTCTGGTAAACTTGCTCGTTTGGTAGACCTTCTTCGCAATTTCACGTTTAAATTTTAACCGTGACGGATAATGAAGTTGCCTTGAAGAGCGCGTTTGCATAATTGCGAGACAAGGTTCCTCCGCGAGGAGGCGAAAACACACAGGAGGCGGCACAGTCGTCCCGTAATTTTTGTAACTCGGGAGCAGGGAGGGGAACATATCTCGAACACGATGTACGCTTTATCTTCTCGTGAAAATATACTTAAATATTCGCCTGTATTTTTAAATTATCGTGTAAGGGTCGATTAACATTTCTTCTGCCGCTTATCAATCGCGAAATTTAATCGAGGATTAAAATACTCCTTTCGTAGCTCGAGTACTCCGATATCGTGTGCGACCAATATTTGTCGTGTTTAATTAAATTGTCGATAATGGCCGATATCAAAATCTAAGAAAAATAATCTGCAACAGCAGGTCGAGCTTAACTTAACGAATAACCGTTATTCGACGTAAAATGTAATTATCCCGTCTACGGATCTCGGATTAATAATAGGTCTGTTTCATTTGTCCACAAATGAAAATAACGCGCAAAATGATCGATTCCTTCTGTATT